CCCCCCCTTGTGTTTAAAATATTATGACACTGTCGAAAACATCCGTTAACCCTTTGAGCCCTGGCCTCCTGAGGCTACCGTGCCCCTCTGCCTGAGCTCCTGAGCGATATATTACTAACATTCACAAGATCGTCAGAATTACTTTCCACATATCCCACTCAGGGTAGACCTTATCATTACCAGCATCAAATTCAGAAAGATCTTCAAAATAATCAATAACATCTTGCGCAGTAAACACTGTTTTCCGTGTATGTTTTGTCCCAGACGGGTAGGGCTGGAATAGGGTCTCGGTCACTGGTGTACCAGTGGCTAGGCACATGGGCAGTTTTTTTAGCCTCTGGTGGCAAAGGCTCTAAGGGTTTATCTAACACAAACACTTTTCTCCTTGACAAGGGATGGCTGTCTTGAACATTTCAACTGTATCGATAAATCTTAGTGTAAACATTACGACATACAGTATAACACGGAAGATCGAACACAGAAGACTCGAAATCACGCATCCGCTGAACTGTGCCTGCGGTCCCGTTTTTTCTTTTTCTCTTTATCTTTGTAAGATGTCCCTCGAACTACGGATCCCTCGAACTACCGAGGCGGGTCCCGACAAATTCGAGCTATCCGTGTTATACTGTATGCTGTAGAGAATCATACCTTAGCGGCCAAAAGGTTCGGCACCAAATCCTTGTCCAGAGACAGGTTGACCAGCACTTTCAGACTCTGGACTCTGACAGCCGGAGAGCCCGAGTCGAGAAGGGAGAAGAGTCGCGGCACGAGGCCCGTGTAGTAGCTGTGGTAGGTGGCCTCAGAGGAAAAGTTGATGAGGGGACGGAGCAGGGACAGTTGGAGAGCCTCGCTGGTCGTGTCAAGGGAGAAAACGTCCACCAGGGCCGGGATGCTGTCCTGAACAAGAGAAACAATTTGTTTGGTTAAGGCACGAAAAAAGGACACCTTGCAAATAATAATAATCTGACCAAACATTTCAAAGTGCACACATTGTAAGAAAAAGGTGCAGCAAAGAAATATGTACAACAAATTCAAGAGAAAAGACGGTGAAAGGAGACACATATAATGTCTTGAATCCGTAAGATTACAAGACATTGTGGGACTGAAAAAACTGTTGACAAGTTCGAGCAAAGAGAAGTACATTGACAAAATAATGGTTCTTTAGAGCAAAGAAAAAATGCGACAGACAGACAGAAACAGCACAGCGAAAGAAAACAAGTAGGACCTACCAGTGGCACACCCCAACCACCCTCAATAACAGACAAGTGCCCTGAGGAAGAAGGAGGCATAGGAGAACAAGACTAAATTTACCTCCATCAGCGCTTGAGTAGTGGGGTCCAAGCTGAAATTTGTGACCACCTGACACAGAGCTTGCAGCATCGTCTCTGACCCGACCTTTCCCTGCACCAGCTCTTGGCACTTCTCTGTGGTCAGGGCGGTCACCACCTGTGGGCACCTGCTTGCTCGCAACTTTGGCTGGCAAAAAGACAAAGTCAAAATAAAGATAATTTCTTTTTTTGGCTTCATTTCAACAAAATTTCTGAAAATATGTGTACGAAGAGTCATCAGTTTTAATTAATGCCCAGCTTTTCTGAAATAAAAGTAAAGAAAAAAAAAGAGGAAAGCGAGGAGGAGAAGCTAAAGAAGAAGAAGAAGAAGAAGAACAACAACAACAACAATAACAACAACAATCACACAGAAGTACCAACTAGTTGAGAAAAAAATCCATAAAACTTTTCGGACACCGTGGAAAAGGTCACGCGGTGACTCAAAATTTACAGATCATACTTTCTAATACACCCTGTATCAAGACTATTTTTTTTATATTTAGTGCAAAATGACATGCACAAAGAGATCTGACTATAAATGTATAAGCAGGAATTATCATTACAACAGACATGAAGTCAAGAAAACAATTTCAGAAATCTAGATTTATCCGGAGAATCAGCACCTCTGACAACAAAATAACAAACAACATCAACCACTCACATTGTGCTGCGTGAAGGCACTGACTCTGACCAGACTGTCCAGCACCGTGGGGACCAGGCCCGTGTCCGGCCGAGAGAGAATGGACACCAGCACCTCCACATCTTGCTGGCTCAACTGTGCCGGAGAGCTCTGACACAGAGACAAGACACGGGTCACCTCCTCAGAACTGGGCTCTTGTGTCGCTGCCTCTTCATCTTCATTGTCAGCAGCAGCGCCAATCTCCGCGGAGAGGACAGCGTCCGTGATGGGCAGGACTTGGGCATTCTGTGACACGTCTTCTGCGGCTACTTCCTGTTGCTCGTCGCCCTTGACAATCTCCACATCAGCGCCGACATCCTGCCAGGAACTCATTTCCATTGAAGAGGACATTGACTCTTGCCTCTTCTCTTCTTCACCACCCAAAGTGGCCGGTCCAACGCTCTCCTCTCCTTGACCTTTGCTCTCTGTGACCTGTGGACCTCCAGCATCATTTAATTCAGCGTTCTCCGATACAGAGCTTGTTGATGGCACCAATGTTTTCTCATTGTCTGTCACGGAAGCTTCCAGATCTTCTTTTTTGTCATCTTTCGGGCTTTCCCTTTCTTCCTGTTCGCTTACATCTTTGTCTGCTGACTCATTTTGTTTCTCTGAAGGCATCTCCACGCTCTCATCCGCCGAAGTATAGTAAGACGAGCCAGATTTTTCAACATTTTCCACCATCACCATGCTGGTCTCGTTGGCGTCCTGGAAGGATTCCTGATCGGTCAGTTTCCCTTCCTCTCTGGTTCCCTCAAGAGACACCTCCTCCTGACTGGCCCCTTCCACAATTTCTGGGGCATCTTTCCTCTCCTCCTCACTGACAACCTCCTCTATGGCTTCGTCTTCAATGACATCATACGAGCTCTCGTCGCTGCTACGGTCAGATTTTCTCCCACTCCCTACTCCATTCTCAGTGTTGATGGTAAGACTGCTGTTTGCCAGGTTGTACCCTCCGTCGATGGCAAAGAAGCTGCTTTGACAGTCCTGGGTGAGAGGGTCAGCACAGACATCGGACTGGTCTGGAACTACATCTGGTTCAGATGCTTTCCCAGTCGGCTGTGGACCAACATTCAACAGTGTCAAGAGATAAATAGATAAAGCAAAGAACAACAAGATTAAAAAACAACTGGTGCCAGTCAACTGGACGGTCTGCAAAGATGTTTCTGTTCTACTTGACAGTCGACCACCAGATTAGTCTGACAACTATTTCACTTGACAGTCTACCAGTTTACTACAGTCCCCAATACTTAACATTTCCTCTGCATTTATACAGGTTTGAGACTGTCATTGGTTCTGAAATTTGTGGTTGAAGTTTGTTGGGAGGTGGCTGCGGTCAGTCAGGTGGGACTTATGAAAGACCGTCAAGTGGACTGGCACCAAACAACTACAGTCATGCTACTATGTCGAGGATAAAATTTCCCCCAAAACATCCTCTAAATAATTCACAGCAGCGGTACAAATATACTCTTAGCAATCTATTAGTGTGGTCAACTGAAGGCCCTCAAATACTAGTTGGCCTATCGGCAGAGAGAAATTCCCCATCATGATTGAAATGAAGTTTGAACCCTTCCAACCTTGATCAATAAATAGCATTCCCCTGGTCAAAAATAAATAAAAACCTTACTTTCCCTATATCTTGATGAAAGTGAAAATCCATATAAAGCTAACTGGAGATTTTATCATGCAGTAGGTCATGCCTCATTGACCCCTTGAATAGGTTCTTTCTGGGTTTAGGACTGAAAACTAAATATTGCCGATGCACGCCTGTGAATAAAACTAGTAACCCAACCCTCATGGAAGAGGACAGATACCAACACCAGCTTGCAAAAAGAAAGATTCTACTTCTCACTTTCCCAGTCAAAATGAATGCTAAAACTTTCATGGCACAGGTGTTCCATGACTAGCTGCTTATGTCATTGTTTATCGGAAGTGTTCACTCTGAATACTTAGCCATTGGTGAGACCTAAGTATTCAATCTGAGGGCTATATTCTGCAACTTTTAAAAAACAATGAAGAAAAGAAATAGTACTAGAGACTAAAAACCCATAACACAATAACAATGAAAAAGACCCATACAATCACTGACCTTGTCATGACTAAAAGGACCCTAACAATCATTCACCTTTTTCTGCACACAGATAAGCAGTTGTGGACATTTAGTACTGGTATCTCAAACTATTTGCCACCTACCTCCTGAGACGCTAATGAAGATACTTCTGACTGCAATTCTTCTTGAACCGATTCTTTTGATGCCTGTGTTGGCTGTGCTGGTTCTGTCTCCTTTGGTTTTGTGGCTTCAAGTCCATCGCCAGACGTTTCTGGGAAGGAATTGTCTGGCAGAAAGGAAACAGAGTACATTTAAAAGCAAGCCACAATAGTTTGCATCAGAATCTCTAAAGGCATACATGCTGGCAAAGAATCCAGAGCAACAAGTACAGTAGTAGGTAGTTATTAATGACTCAACTCACCACATGGATCATATTTATATAAATACATCTTCAAATGATGAACAATTTTAAAAAGTAAAAAAGCTACCACCCAAGAGGTGAACATTTAACATTACAATCTGAACTTTGAGAAGTAGAAGGGTTAGAAAACAAAATTAGTACCCAGACTTTTAGGATACATTTCTTGATCCTTTTTAGGGATGTCCACGAAAACTTTGCCATCACTAAACCGGTCACGAAAGAGAGACATTCTCCTCCATTCAGACATAGATCTCCCCCCCCTATATATAAAGTCCATGCGACACAAATGAACCTGCAATTAGCATTACATTTGTGTAACAGCTGGACAGAATTTTTTTTTTTTTAAATTAGCTTATAAGAATAGAAGAACAGGGCCCCAAAGAAGCCACCAGCAGATTACACACTGAAAAAAAAATCTACTTCAATAAGTATCTTTCCCAAAACGTTAGAATTTTGGTAAATCATCAGATCCTAAAGTTGCATGCGTGTTTCAGTCAACTTAAAAAAATTACGAACAAGAATTTGAGCTAAATATTGTTTTCTGGAGTACAGCTATCTTCGCCTAAATGGTGCTCGAGAGGACTCCTAAGCGTGTGTGTCTATACTCTATACGGAGTGTGTATTTACGTGAACTTGCGCTACGCGGGACATTTTAGTACCTCCCTTGGGGAGTGGAGGTAGGGGATGGGGGGACTTGTCTTGTGACGTTAAGGGTTTTGCAGAGACACTTCTTCATCTAGCATGATGTGATTTTGCTTTCATGGCTTTTACTTAATGTCCAGGTCTGGCACTGGTAGTGGTAGCATAATGTTGGGTACAAAAATATAAAATACTGAAGTGACAAGCTCGATTTAAATATATTCATTTAGACAAGTTAAGGAAGGACTTCCGTAACGAGCGACCACCCCAATAAACATAATATAGAAGTGACGGGATAATTTGGTTTTGGCCCCAACGAAACGTATGGAGTGTGGGTTTTGGCTTCATCGACGATTACTTCTGGTTCAAAAAGATTACTTTTTGATGTGCGCGCCGATAAAATAATTATAATGTTTGACGCTCAGCAAGCAAGAGATATCAATTCATATTGAATAGCAAAACATCAAAATTATGCTAATCCCCCCGGGGCAGTGCCACTGACTTTAGTGTCTTTAGGCCATTCCCAAAGGGGGGACATTTCTCGTTCAAGCACAGTAGAATTGTAAATGGGCTGATTCATGTCACGCTCATAACTGTGCCTGATCTACAACAGGGAACTGCTTGCTTTTTCTTTCCTAATCCTTACTATTTTTTTTAAATTGTCAATTTCCTCTACTTCTTTCACGTTTGTCACTCTTTGATGACCTGCTATTTTTGTAGTGCCTTGATAGTCGAAGCAGACCTTGTGCTGTTGAAGCTAGAAAGGTGAGCAGAGTAAATCTGATTCCCTGTGAAGACTTCTCCGTTGACACCCACCCCTTGGTGCTCATATGACCTTATGCAGTTGCGAGCGCCATAAAACCCTCTACTATAATAATAAAATAATTATGCTTAAATTCAGGGGCAGGGCTTTATTAAAACTCCCCCTGTTATTTATATAAACAAGTGAAATATTATCGCTCATTTTATACAGTAAAATAGCAGCGCATCTCTTGCTCTTTCGGATAAAACATCGATACTGAGTATTTAAGTCTATCGGTATCCAGTACTCTTGAGGCCAAAACCGGAGAATAGAATGTCGAAGAGACCTCACTTTAATCCTAACCCTGACCCCAACCTTACCCCTATCCCAAACTCTAATTATTTTAATACTAAAATACTAAATCTATAATTAAAGCCTGCGATTATTCAGACCCCAGGGGTGCCAATAATCTGGTCACTATTCTGACCCCCCGAGAACAGGTATAATAATACGAAGTGACTATTCCTCCAAACGTTCGGAGAAATAGTGCCGATCTTTATTTCTCCGAACGGTTTCTGGCTTCCGGTCTCGTGATTTTTTGCCTATATTTATTGCGAGAGTTCGGCGCCCCTCTGGCCTCTGGTCTGGGAAGGAACACTGCATGGCAAGCCCGCCTACATACTCCCTTCAGTAACACCCACCGCACACCCACCACCATCATGAACATGTACACACACAAACTTATACACACACTAACTAAACATGATCAGTGGGCAACTTTTGAACGTATGACGAGCTGAGCTGTGGATGGAGAGACAGTGTGAGTGAAAGAGCGGGTTAAAGGAAGAATGTACGAGTGTATCCACAGGCGACAGCAACTACGCCTACAAGACGACGACACCGACCCCACCTGGCCTGGTCCACAGCTCACGAACGAAAGGAATGTGGTTAAGGCAGTGTTTTGCCTATGTTATTGTCCATGGTTTGTAGGGTGCAAGGGAATGAGTGAGATTTTCTTAGTGTGTGCCTGGAGGGAGGGGGTGGGGTGTGAAAGTCATGCGGACGGGGATATGAGCCGCGGGAGAGAACACAGGAATTGAATGGATGAGTGACACTGAAAGAGAGGAACGACTCATGAGCCCTGGAGTGAATGGATCCTGTGTTTCTATTTTTGTATACTTTGAACTGTCATGTTGCTGAATAAAGGCTGAAATAAAGCCCGAAAAACAAACACACACATACTCCTCACTCTCCACTTACACACTTACTACCACACACAGACACTCACACACGCACATGCATACACACACACACACACAGGAGCAAATTTTTGGGTCTATATCTATTTCAATTTTCAAGAGCTAGTCTAGAGATTTTTAGATGAGTGTAAAAACGTGAAAAAGAAAGGTTTCACAACAGGATGAAATCAAAATTAAAACAGCCCATAAAAACAACCACAAAACTTAACAAATAAGGGCGTGTGTCCACCTGTCCGAAGAAGATTCGCTATTTTAACCATAAATGTGCGTAAATTTTTAAAAAAGTAGAGGATATTACATGTAAATTATGGAATCACAGTGTCAGTCCATGTAATCGGTTTTGGTGGAACGTACGCTCTAACATAAAGACATTTAAATCTATATATATATATATATATATATATATATATATATATATATATATATATATATATATATATATATATATATATATATATATATATATATATATACACCCCCCCCCCCCCCTTTTCACCAACAAAAAAAATTGATAGAAAAACAACACATCAGAACAATAACAAGAAAAAAAAAGTACACACTAACAAAATAAAACACCACAAAGAGTCAAAGAGGGAAAAATAAAAGTAACTGTAACGTATTCAATAAATCAACGGGGTGACAACAAGTGAGAAAGAGACTAAAGACTAAGTGAAGCTAAGTGAACTTTCTTTTCAAAAGTAAAGAGGTTCGGTTTCTTTCGGTTAAATTTGACTTTTATTCCCCGACCAAAAAATGCCAAAAATCGAGCCACGATTGATTGGTCGCGGCCGTGACAAACGCAGAAGCTAGTTCTGTGTCGTTATCAATAATCCTCCGTAGATCTAAATCTAGACAGCACACGAGTGAACACAACACATTAAGTTTAGGCCGGTAAGTTTAAGAGCAGCACCCTTCATAGGCGACATGTCATATCTGTAGCGAAAAACTGTTTGGAACTGTTGCATTTCTTTATATAAATATTTACTGCGGACATTTTTTTGGACCGATTGAACCATATATTATATATTGTATTGTATACAAACAATCTTTGGTAGGCCTATACTCTATATAATATCCGAAATTTGCGTGAAAGGATGCGATTTCAGAGTGTTCGGAGAAATAGTGTCCAGCTTTATTTTCCTGAACGTTCGGAGAAATAGTGCCGGCCTTTTATAATATGGGCTGCATTTGTCCTTATCCAGGGTGAAGAGATATAAAACTTAAGGGCGAGTTGGTCTTAGTGTTTTTGAAAAATGCAGTGACTATGTCACGGTGCCGTGAATGTAATATAATCTAGATCTAGATCTAGATCTAGTTTGCAGGTTACGTTCACAGCGCCCTGAATGTTGTTTGCAGGCTCTGATTTGCCATGTAAATGGAGTCAAATTTGTGTTCAGCACACAAAACAAACTAAATAAAATAGTACACACACAGAACCTGGACTTAACTTCTGTTCTGCGTCGGTACCGAGATGCGAGTCTTATAATTTTTCTGATCGAGTTCCTCATTTCTAAGCGGGTTAATTTGTTACAATTTCATTGGACGAACATCTAGGGCTAGCAACTTGACCGGTTTTGAATGAGAAGTGTACGCCTCCCTCATGAACCAACGCAGGTGATTCTACAAGTAGGCCACAAACTCAAACAAACTCACGCAGACTGACGCACACAAACGGTCATCACACGGATGAAGCTCAGAGGAGGGCCGGACGGCTATAAAGCTCCAACCGGAACCTGGACAGCGGGGGTCTTAATACGGAAGCCGGAAAGAAGGAGGGTCCGAATAATATTCTGATTAATCACACCCCTGGGGTCTGATTAATGATACCGATAATTATAATCCTCTAACTCTTCTCTGTTTTCTATTTCAGAGAGGTATTCAATAGTGGCAGTGGTCGCTCATTTTTGGCTCATATGGAATTCGCCAGTTAACACCACACACTTATTTCAGGCAAAAATTCACCGCCAAGAGGCCAATTCAACCTAAAATAAACAACTGTTTAATGAAACTGATGAAGTAGGAAGTAATAAAAGTTACTGACAATACAAAGTTCATCGGTTAATCTTTTATCATTAACTTTGCACTTTGCTCAGGGCTCAGGCCAGGGGCAGAGAATGATGGATGGAATGACAGTCCAAGGGCATGACTTTCATCACAAAGTTCTGACAGTTACAAGCCATGATAAACACAAACGGACACAAGACACAATTATCGTTGTTACCTTTTTTCTTTGGTCCAAACTTTTTCAACAATAAATAAGTTATAACAACAACTCCAGTAGCCGCAAAAACTCCAAGGACGATCCTTGTGCTCTCAGGAGATGCCATTTTTAGAACAGGAAAACGTGATTTCATCAACCGAAAATAGTACTTTAGTTTACATTTACGACAGCAACTGACCGTGCAAAATTTAGGAATTCAGTTGCAAGTAAAAGGAAAAATCTTTGGTATTCATTCACATTCTTCAAAGATCAATTTTTGTTCGCGACAACTCCTTATTATAGTTTTAGGTGCTTGCAAAAGAGAAAAAAGAAATAATCCCGTATTATTTAGTTCAAATCCAGGGATTTCATTCTTCTCATCAGCAGAAAGTACTATCTAAACATAAATAAATATATTATTTTTAAAAATTA